GTTTGCGGACAGCTGTGAATTTTTGGGTTTTTGCACATACTTTGATTTTCTTTTACTATACGGAGAATGGTCGCACTGCGCAGCTTTCTGAGTGCCTTTTAAAAGGAGATAGAAAACTCCGCCATTTTGAACCTTTATTACGTGTTGCCTACATCCTGGCGCAATATTTTTAATAGGTGCGTTTTAATCATCCGCTTCTGCTTCGGAATTGTTAGTTTTCTTGTTTTAATCTGACAGGTTAAAACGACTAAACCGACAATTCCGGAAGCAGAAGCGGATAACTAAAACGCACCTGATATTTTGCTTGCTGCTGTCAGTGTCAGTGAATAATTTTTGAAGTCACAGTTTATTGCTAAAAAATCAGTTAGCTCACTCGGACCAGTTGAAAGTTCCAAAATAACATCCACTCCAGGGATATAAATTCAGGATACGCAGAAGACTGCTGTTTTATTATAGGCGGTTATCATATATTGTATTATCCGAGTTGCACAGTGTAGAAACTGAAACATTGAGATCCAAAGTGCCGACGCAGAGTGAGCGAATTGATTCTTTAGCTGTAAACTGTGTCACAGAGTTCAAAATGGCCGCGCCCTATGTTGGGCGTGTCGGACCTCTCTCTTGCCTCGTATAATGTGGGTTTTTGGTACCCAGACAACTGCGCTGTATGTTAGCAAAGGTCTTACGATGGCCGAGCAAGTCATTGCGATAACTCTGGGGGAGAAACCCCAGGTGCACCCCACGGTTCGGCGGCATTATTCATGAACAATTTATGCTCTTTTGATGCTGTTTCTGAGTGTGAGTTCCATGTTAACTTGCTGTCAAAGGTGAGACCATCGAGATAGAATGAAGATAATTTTATATTTACAGACTGAATACAAATACAAATGCAAATGATTTTGTATCATTTAAATGGAGCTATTTAAAATAAATGGCATTTATTTTCACCAAAACTGACTAGTTCAACTAGTTAGATTTTGAAATATGATATAGAAGGCAAGGGTGTGGACGCTTTAGTATCGTCGTAGCATCTCCTCTTTATTCTATCTCAATGGGTGAGACCTAGGTACTTCACCTCTGATTTAAAGTTTAACTTTGTATATAGGAGTTCTGGACGTTTTTAATTCCATTTTCTTTCTTTTCTTTAGGAAAATTACCATTTCTGTCTTCTTGGGATTAATATACAGAAATAATTCTTTTGCAGAGTATGTTCTTAAAATTGTCTGCTTGTAGAATACCACGCTATTGTGTAGTTATTGTCATAATTGAGGCGGCTGATGAGGGTGTCGAGGAGAATGTTTGACAGTATAGGTGAAAGCACCCCTCCCTGTGGACATTTTCTCGCAACCAAGCCTCTTATATTCACATTTTCTACATATTTGTTTACTACTCGATTTAAGAGCATGTTGTGTATCAACCCACTAACTATATGTGAAACGCTCCTGTTGTTTAGTGAGTTTATTATCTTGGGAAAGGTCGTCTTATCTATGAAAACACCCAGGGGCCCTATCCTCGGCAATCGTTTTCTAAAAAACGTATACGCTTTAGTAACATGCGAGCTATTCGCTATTCTCGACATTCGGTTTAAAAGCGTGTACGTTTTTAAAACGGGTGTTTTACAGCGAGCGGAATTTTTCACACGTTTGTGATAAAACGTGCATGTTTTCAAGGATTTAGTCAATGTCACTTATATGTCACTTTTAGGATGATTAATAATATTGATTTATTTTAACAAATTTTACTTTTTATTAATACCTACAAAAGTATCAAATTTCTTATAAATATGGTTTGCAGTACTAAAAAAGTCTAATAGCTGAGAATTTATTTCAATTAATGCAATAATTAGTACAATTAGAAAACTTGGAAGATAAGAATGAGAAAAGCAGAGATTTACTTAACTTGAAGCCACTTCAAATCCTACACTTCCTTGAGAAAATAGGATTGGAAGGGTCGTTATAGGCATTGAGACATTTCCTTAGTGCATTGGCGACAGAAGGGGGCACAATAGATCTTTTAGGTCGCAGTGTATTAACACCCCATTCTCAACATAACATAAAGATTCAGACATGCAGAGGCAGAATCCATTTTTTTAATTTAATGGATATTGAATGAATATTTTTTATATTTTACTGTGTAAGAATTTAATTATTAATTCATGTATGTTTAATTTATAGATATTAATTTGCTTGCGGTTTCTTGCAAGTGGTAGTTCAAAGCTCTTCTATATCACACGTTGTGTCCAGAACTTTTAACAATTTTGTAAAATTGCCACAAGATATTAAAGAACTGAATGAGATTAGCAAAGTTTTTAAGTTAATTTTGTACCATAGAAACTAGGTTTTATGACGTACGATTTTCCTAAAATTATAGGTTACATTAACAGCACCTGTATAGCTGTTTTCCGCCAATGATTAATGATTTAGTTTATCATGAACATTGATATATTATGTTCTTTAGAAAAAATCATCATTCGATAAATTTACAATTGGTTTGTTGTAATTAAATTACATAATCCTTATTTTTTTATGGCCTGCACATTACTTGAATTCAGCGATATAGACAGTTTACAGTGATGCCAGACATATTATTTGCTTGTTAAAAACGTACACGTTTTAAAAGACGAATGCTTATCGAACGCCAGTCAAGAATATAGATTTCAAAAACTACTCGCTTTTCAACCACTCACTTTCGAAAACGGTTCGTTTTTTAGCGATTGTCGAGGATAGCCGCCCAGGGCGCATTCTTTATTATCCAGTGACCTCTCTATCCGGCCAGCAACCAGGTAAAGTGCTGAATCATTAGATATGCCTGTGGTGTGTGCATGTATCTTTCACATAGCCTTTCCAATGTTTTCATGGAAAACGATGTCTGGCTAATTGGTCGGTATGTTTTAGGGACAGTGTAGTCCATTTTTCTAGGTTTGGGTATAAAGACTACCTTTACCTCTTTCTATTTTCGAAGGATATGCTTCGGAGCCAGCGAGGATGTGAATATAATTATTACGTGCGGTGTGAGTTCTTCCAGACCCCACTGAAGTAGGGCTGGATAGATACCGTCAGGTCCTGGTGATTTAAATAGAGAAAAGCTAGATATTGCCCTTCTAATTTTGTCATCGTCTACAATGTGTTTGGCAGTTTGCCAATCGTAGAAAGATGGGTTGTATTTTCCTCTGCCCACTCGGCCACATCTGTGATGACCAAATCTCTTGAGAGAGGCTTTTGAAGCTTGGCTGTCTGCGGGAAATCTTCGATTTCTTCGAAGTAGTATCTCCACACATCTCTCTGTATAATGATTTTTTATATTCTCTGTGGTTAAATTTGTAAGTATTCAAGTTCTCTTTGAGTTTTCTGGTTCTTGTCTTGTTAAAAGATTTCCTAGCCATATTCCCGAGGCGAACCAACTCATAACTCCACCATGCGGTAGTCGTTTGATCGTGATGGATCAGTATCAGCGGGCAGAATTTCTTATAAGCATTGTCTATTGTGCTTTGGATAGAACCTAATAACAGAACACATTATATTTAACCATGCTCCTAGGAGAAGTATAGTAAAGCAGAGTAATTAAAGCTTTTCGACTTAAGTACGAGAAAGAGAAAGAAAGAAGAAGAAACTCCTGCCGATAATAGTACCACTATTCAATAAAGGTTTTAGATAGAGCTTTACGAATATTTATCCGGTTTAAGGTATCTGCTGAGATAAGAAAAATATGGTATTTGTTACTTGAGCTAATTGGTTAATATTTAATAGTCCAAAAATGTTAACATAGAACAAAAACGTTTGTCAAACGCGGCTAAACCAAATAATTATTTAGTAGGTAGGAATTGAAAATATAAATAGCTTATTGGTTGAGGCTTAGAGTTTAGAGCTTAGGGTTTAGGAAAAATAAAACTATTTTTATGTCCACCTTAATTATATTCAACTGAATTGCGTCTTTGAAATATAATGTAGCCAAAACCGTATCTAGAAGATAAGAGAAGTTCTTTTTTACTTGGTGATGCAAAACAGCAAAATTTTGTAATTTGTAAATGGAAGGAACATTAGGCCGACAAAGAAATTCACCTAATAACCACATAGACAAGATGCTTTTAAAAGTAGAGGACATCCTCCGTTCTATTTGCCGCATAATCTTAAGTAAGTGTAAAAAATGCCACACAATAATGGTTCCAGTTGGTAAATGTTGAAAAAGCCTTTTGTTTTGCAGTGCTTTATTATGATAATGGTAAAGTTATATCACAGAAAGCAATTAATGCAAAAAATAAGCATTTTGAGCTTGCTTTTGAGCCGTGCTTGCCACAATCTTTATTTAAGAAATTTTTAAGTGCGCATGCTAAAAAATTGATGATTTTTTCTTAAATTAGCATTGTGATTCAAAAATTCAAAAATTGAACACGGCAATGTTAGTTTAAAAATGCCAGGATTTAAATAAAGAATATTTTACTCCAATTAAGAATTGTTCCTAGGTTCATATTTTTTGTTCTCGTTAGAAGCAGTTACCTCTGGTTCAAGCATCGGATGATTCATTAAAATTTCATGATGTAGAGGATTACTATACCCGATACTCATTTAATATGTAACCACATAAAATAAAGCCTATCAGTACTGTTGTAAAACTGTAAAAAATAACGGAAATGTACTTTCTGTTATTAGAGAGTTGAAGTATTTCCAGTACGTTAACGTAAACGTGAACGTGAACGCAGAAAAATAATGTTTACGTTGCTATACAAAATATGAGTTGAAGTTGTTAAACGCATCGTGACATTTACGTATCATGACAAATAATGACAATTAATGACATATTATATTGGGATTTCTACTTTTCCTATTAAAAAGAGGTTATTTTATTTGCGTTACGTGTATCCGCCAGAGCCCGTATGTACGTAGACGTAAACGTGAAGGATATTTTAATAGGCATGCGCAGATGTCAAATTTCACGTATACCTGTACGTTTATAACATCACTTCAACTCTCTATTAACTTCCACTTTTATTTTTTTTTTGTTTTTAGTCGCCAGAGCAACTTTCACATATTTTACTACATATACGATGGACTTATTGCAACTTTAAAGCACGAAAAATATTATTTAAAATCTCATAGAGAATACATATTCCTAAAGAATACAAACAAAAAATCTAATTTACCAAAAGATGACATTGATTCAAATACATCAAAACATAAAAAAATCTGTAGTTATTTTGATGAACTACAATTCTCTGAAGACCAAATATCGACTATACACTGTGTAATAGCAGCAATTTTGCATTTGGGAGAAGTTAAATTTAAACAAAACGATGATATGTATGCAATAATGGAAGGTAAGGAGGAGGTGCAGTACATTTCTCGACTTTTAGAAATTGATGAGAAAAAAATCTGCTGGACATTGACAAATTACTGCGCAGTTAAAGGAGGAAATGCTTTTAAAGTTAGACAAACGTTTGATGAAGCTAAAGAGGCCAGAGACGTCCTAGCAAATACTTTATATGCTAGACTGGTAGATTATATTATTGGTACAATTAATAATAAATTATCTTTTGGTAAAGCTATTTTGTAAGTATTATTTATTTATAACAAGAAAAGCAAAATTTATTATTTCATAATCATTATAATAATATTTTACGGCGTTATTCGATCAATCAAAAATATATGCAAATATATTTATGTCAACAAAAAGCAATCCTTTTAAGATAAAATAATGTTGATACACATTAGAATATATTTTTTTGGTTCTCCTATTTAAAAGTTTGTTTGTTAAAGGGAACAAAAAAGGGTTTGTTTATGCCTACGCAATTCAGTCTTGGCCTAGTATGTTTTTCATTACATGTGATTTCTAATTTCTCACCAGGGTCGTTGCAACACGCTTGAGCATAGTCGTGCAAATGTGTCTTCTGCTAAATTAATGTATATATTTATTATATTTTTAATGTACTACGTACATTCAACATTATAATCGCTAATTAAATAATACAAGTGAAGCACAGAAATTTACATTTTATTTCCAATCAATTAAAAATTTGTTAAACAAGAAATAAATAATCTTAAATAAAAAACACTAAATAAAAATAGTTTTACGCGCTTTCTTTCAGGAACAGTCAGAATTAGGATTAGTCATATTTATATTATCCAAAAAATCACTTTCTATCGATATGATAGCCAAATTATCGAGCCGCTGTTGGCCCATTGATGATGTTAAATAGACTTTGATCAACTTTTACTTTGAGCAAATTGTCTCTGCTGAAGCAACCGATTCGGGCATTGTTAAAAAAACTCGCGAAGCTACGGTTGCATTTGAAAAAGTATGAGTTAAATTATTTAAAATAATATGGTCTAACATTTGTGTTGGTGTTTGCAGCGTATTTTTTTTTAAAAATTGCCACTCGTATAAAAATTCCGTTTCATTTATGTCACGTTCATTGCGATTTTTGTCTGGTGAAGCTTCTTCCAGTTTTAAGCAATAATTGAGTTGTTCAAAAGCAGTAGCTAACAGATCTTTAAATCTTTTATTACTGCGGTCACTAATAAAAAACTTTAGCAAATCACTTATATGGGTACATGCTTCCGGGGCATATTAAACCTTTGGTTTGTAACATTTTGCTAACAATATTGACTCTAAACAAAACATAATAATGTACATATAAAATAGTATTTTTTTTAATTATTTGCTAAAGTTTCAGCCACATGCTTTGTATTGAAGGAAAATCCACTAAATATACTATTCACTTCATCATAGACTTTCATAAGCTGTTACCCCAAAGAACTAATATCATCAATTCTGCTCGACCATCTAGATTCAAAAAGTCGTTTCTAAGTTAAATTGGAAATATGTTCTTTTGAAATAGTCCCATGATTAGTTAGGGCAGAAAAAAAAATGTAAAGTTCTTGAACTGTAGAAAAGAATTGCCAGTTAAAATTTTTATTTTTTCCTTCATTATTTACAACCAAGTTTAAACTGTGATTACAAGGTACGAAAAATGATCTTGGATTTAAATTTAAATTTACGAATTTGATACAGACAAATTTTTTCTTGATGGCTCATGCCCGGAGTGCACACTAATCTCGTGGCTATCCTCCCCGACTATAGTTCGGGATACACTAAGAATGCAATATGGCTAGGCGTAGGCAATGTATTTCTAACGGGAGACCGACATACTGTTTTGCTGTCCTTCCGATAGCTGTGACAAGGTCGGCCCAGTAGTCAATGTTATTAGAGCATGTATTATTGGTTGCATATATGAGGACCGTTTGTCTTTCTTGATGTATATTAGATGGCTTTCTGGAGAAAGAAAACAACCCAAAAATTTGTGATTTTTAGACTTTCGCATAATATTGCATTAAAAAATGTAAGATTTACTGCAAAAAAAGATTCAGTCCACATTCTGTTTTTTTTTTCTCTCCTGGGCTCGTCTGACTATGTGTCTCCGAATAACACTGAAGCCTATTGGCTTATTGTGTTTTACCCCATGTTAGTTCATAGCACCCACTCTATCACCTTTGTACCTTGTACAAGTTTGTACAGATCCTTGGGTGAGTGGGTTCTATACGTTGCTGGATCAACCTGGGGTTGCCCAAAAAGAGCCTGTCTTTTGCGATCTAGAGCTTCGCATTCGGCACAGTATGTGTTTGGCCGTTTCTGGTTTCTTGTGACATAGTCGGCACATAAGTTCCCCATTGTACATGTCAATTTTGTTCAAGTGTCCCTTTACTGGGGCGTGCCCAGTCATGAACCCTGTTATCACTTTCAAATGGTTCCTATTCATTAAGAGTAGTTCTCCAGTTCTTTTGGGACATGGTCTGCCCATGAAGGCTTTTCCATGTGCCTGTTTTGGGGTGCTTCTCCAATAGTTGATATGTTGTTCCCGAATCCAGTCATTTATAAAACCCCGGACTGTACTTTTTGGTACTCCTGGGTTTGTGTCTGGTTCCGGTGTTTCTTCTAACCCACTTTTTGCAAGTTCGTCAGTCTTTTCGTTGCCTTCGATCCCTTTGTGATCTGGCACCCAAAATAGTTTTACTCTATTTCGGTCTGCCAGTGTTCTTAGTTCTTCGATGCATTCCCATACCAGCCTCGACGTAACTTTCTGACTCGATATGGCCTTAAGTGCCGCTTGGCTGTCTGACATTATTTGAATGTGCTGATTTTCGACAGCTCTTTCATTATTCGTTTTTGCACATTGCAAAATTGCGTATACCTCGGCCTGAAATACCGAGGAATGTATTCCTATAGCATAGCTATGGTTACTATCAGGGTTTTTGGAGAATTCTCCTGCCCCAGTGCCTTCCGCAGGCTTAAACCCGTCTGTATACCCGGTTTGTTCCTGTCGTTGGGCATTGGGCTCCCTTATGGTAATCTTCGCTCTTTCCTGTATTAAAACCTCAAAGGGAGTATTAAAAGAGTACCTCTTGGTTAAGTGGTCTGATCTCATGTCTAGCACATCTCCTGTCACTAACCTTGAGATACTCATGTGACCTGGCCTAATGTCAAGATTTCCCAGTGTATTCCCTAATCGGTAAGCACCTAATCTTGCCTCCCCTTGTATCACATAGTGAAGAGGTGGGAGTCCTATAAGTGCTTCCATTGCAGCAGTGGGGGTTGTTTTCATTGCCCCCGTTATTCCGAGGCAGGCAAGTCTTTGTACCCTGCTAAGCCTCGTTATTGCTTTCCTTTGCTGTGTCTTTGGCCATCACACCAAAGCTGCGTATGTTATTATGGGTCTCATGTTATAAATCCAATATACCATGTCTGGTTTTAACCCCCATTTTTTTCCAAAGGATCGCCTTGTCATCATTAATGAGGTTTCCGCTCTCCTTGTGGTTCTTTCTAGATGCTGGTTCCAGGTAAGTCTCGAGTCAATCATAACCTCGAGATATTTTACCTCCCCCTTAAGCTGGATGCTTGCACCTCTTAGGTTTAGAGGCCCTAGTCCCTCCAATTTCCTCCTGCGGGGAATGCAATTATGTCAGATTTGTTGGGGCTAATGTTTAGTCCTTCCGCCTCTGTCCATTTTGTTACTATATTTAGAGCCTCTTGCATTCGATCTCTTACTATAGTGTTGTATTTTCCCTGTTCCATGATCACTAGATCATTGGCATATCCCAGGGTTATATGTCCCTTATCTTTGAGAGCCCTAAGCAGCCCGTCCACTACAAGGTTCCACAGGAGTGGAGACAGCACTCCACCCTGTGGACATCCTCTCGCTACCCGTGCCGCTGTTGTCTCTCCCATAAGGGTTGTGTGTATAGTTCTCTCCCTTAACATAGAGTCGATCCAGGACACGCATGTCTCCTCGATTCCTCTGTGTTTAAGAGATCTAATGATCGATTCAACGGAGTTATTGTCAAATGCACCCTCGATATCCAAGAATGCTCCCAGCATTACCTCCTTGTTTTCCAGTGTGTTCTCCACCCTTTTTATTAGTTAATGGAGAGCTGTTTCAGTTGATTTCCCTGCACTATAGGCGTATTGGTCTTGGTATATTGGCCTTTGAACCAATATCCCGTTTTTAATATGCCTATCTAGCAGTTTTTCCAAAGTCTTAAGTACGAATGACATAAGACTTATTGGTCTTAGGAACTTTGCCGTTTCCTGTCCCATTTTCCCAGGTTTTGGTATAAAAGTTACCCTAATATTTCTCCAAGCTTTTGGTATGTGTCCAAAGGCCAGGCTACTTCTGAGTATGTTTCAGAGTCTGCTGTATAAAATATCAGGACCTCTTTGTAACATTATTGGATAAATCCCGTCTATGCCCGGTGATTTATATGGTTCGAATTAGCTAATTGCCCATTTCAGTTTATCATAGTTCACCACTTGTTTGGCTATCCTCCAATCTTCCCTGTTGGCTCTATTATGAGCTTCCAGTCCGTTTAGATTCCGGTTAGCCGGTGTATGTGCTATGGTTTGTGCACCAGGGAAGTGAACCCTGAAAAGTTCCCTTACTGTTTCCTTCCCTGTGATTGTGTACTCCCCAAGTTCATTCTTAAGGGTGTTTATTGTGTGTTGTGTGTCTTTTGAGGAATTTTTTGGAGCCTGGCACATTCTTGAGTGCTTGCTATCTCCTCACAGTGCCTTCTCCAAGACTCTCTCTTGACTTTTCGTAAAGCTATATTGTAACAGGTGCGTATGGTTCTATATAGTTCCCATTCGCCGGTTATTTTAGCCCTATTAAATTTTTGTCTCACCTGTTTCCTTAGTATAGCCAGGTCATCATTCCATCATGAAACTTTCCTGGTAGAGTTCCTTGCTATTAAGGGACAGGTATCGTTGAAAGCGCTAGTGACTGTGTCATTAAACTCATCCACAGCCATTTCTAGGTCGATTTTTGTTCTTATCGTCTTTCTCATCTGCGGAAGATTACATTCCAGGGAAGCATTGTATGCCTCCCAGTCTGTTTTCCTGGGATTCCGATAAGTTTCTTTTGCAATATTACCTTTAATATTTAAGTTTGTCTGTAACAAAGTTACTCAAGTATGTTGATGCTATTGTTACATCTAGTACCTCCTTTCTGTTTTTTGTTATAAAGGTCGGTTTATTGCCTACATTTGTTATGTCTAAATTATTTGCCATAATAAATTGTAGCAAAGACTCACCTCTTTCGTTGGTATCGGTGCTCCCCCAGATCCTGTGGTGTGCGTTTGCATCACAGCCAATGATCATCTGCATTCCGTTGCGCCTGCAGAATCTCACCAGCTCCTCCACTTCTCTGGTAGGTGTTGCTTCAGGATCGTCTGAAGGTAGATATGCCGATCCGAGTATTACCTCCTTCGGTCCATTTCCTGCATCGATCTTGATTCTGACTGCTGTCAAATCTCTGGAACAGAAATTAGTTAACGGCAGTATTTTTATGCCTTTTTTGGCAATTATGCAGGTTCGAGGGGTGTCTGTGGATCTGTCATATATTAACTCTCCACCCAGCCCTCCTAAACCTCTTATTGTACCGTGTCTAATCCACGGTTCTTGTACCAGGGCCACTTCAAACCTCCCCATCGCCACTGTAAGTACCGCCGAAGCAGCTTTACAGTGCTGGAGGTTGATCTGGATTATCCTGATCCTCGCCAGGCCGCCTTAGGACCCTGAAGGTCACCCTTCCTAGCTTATAATAGGCCCAGAATTGTGACCTCTCGAGGGCCCTGTACGACGCTTCGTCAATTGAAAAGGCTAGGAGTTGCCCTCCTTTTCAATTTTTCTGCTCATTAAAAGCCAGTCCGGAGTCTTCAGTTCCGTATTCTGGAGCTGAAGAAGTCCCCTGACTTTTTCAACCTCGGACTCCTCCGGGATGAAAACCAGAACCCTGGGTCTTCTTGGGAGGTCCTTAGATTCAACCACGGTCAAATCCGCACCCTCCCAAAGGTTTCCCAGACTGCCGACCGTCCTCCTTAACCAGTCCGCGGTCTACTGGTTATCGCAGGTCATCCAAATGACCCCTGCGCTAAACGATGTTTTGTGGAACTGTGGTGCTCCTCCACTGCCTGAAGGGGTAGCGTAGAGCCTTTCCACAAGAGTTTCTTGTACCAAGTCTCCTTGTTCTTGGTCTAGAGTTGTATCTGGATGCCTTCTCTGGATGACAGCCAATCAGATACCCCTCAAAGTGTCGCTGTACGAGCCAGCCGATGCCGGAGCATTTCTGGCCCGCTTGGTTCCACTTCGAGTGGGGTTGAGTCTGCGACTCAGATCGGGGCCTTTTATCCCCTTTATTCGTTTGGTCCTCCCTCCGTTGGGTTCGATTTTGGGCTGCATTCTTGTAGGGATTTTCCTCCGTCCACGTTCCTGCAGCCAATTTTCTTTTCTTTAGAAGCTTCTTTCTCTCCGCTCCTGAAGGTTTTTTCGGTCTATCAGCAGGCTTGACATCTGCTTTTTTGACTTTTTCTTTTGTTTGGGAGCAGTCGTCTGTTTTCACAGATCCTCCTCCCGCTAAGGGGTTAGAGTCCTCTGCTTTCGCAGTTCCTCCTTCCCTTGAGTTGTCGGAGTCCAAAGCTAACGCAATCTCTCCGATAGTCATGTTCAAGGAGCCTGAGTCGTCTGTATCAGACTCTTCTCCTTGGGTGTCCATTTTTTTCAAATTATTTTCACTCATATTTGTTCCCACGAGTATGGGGGAAGGGGTTACTTCAACTCTGCAGTGCCCCCCGTACAGAGTCAAGACTAGATACTTGGAGGTTTCGCCCGGTTCCCCCGAAGGGAACGTTCGCATATTAAGCCCTGCGGCCATTCATCCTTAGGAACGTTACCTTACACCGTGGCGTTGGGCTTTGATGGAGTGCCATTTGGTTAGTCAATAGTGGTGCTTCTTGAAGCATCGCCATTGGCCTTATCCAGTGGTGCCACGAGGAGGCAGGCACTCGATGGTTGCATTTCTCCATCGTCCCGTAGAAAAATTACCTACCTACAAAGCAGGCGTATTAAGCGAGTGTGCAAGCAAGCAATCTAAACTACAAAGCAATGGCCAAGCTACAACCAACCCCACCCCACATTCTGGTACCTAGCGTTATTTGTTAGCCAATGAACCAACCGACCAAAATTGGTTAAACAAGTAATCTGTCTGCAAAATCAATTCAAACGGTTTGGTTGCTTTCTGCATAACAGAAAAGCGAGTTAGTGACTGTTCGTTATTTGGTTCACTGTAAGAGTGAGTGAGAAGTATTAAAAATAAAAAAAACGAAATTTTTAGTGATACAATATAAATAAATATTAGCATGTCTCAAAGAATTCCTCTTGTGACAAAAGCTATTGGATAGGAGAAGAAAACCCAAAGCTTTGGTCAAGTCAATCGTGTATTAAGATAATAAATACAAAAATGGATGAGAACAAAAAATATACCTGCATAAAAACACAACATACTTTTTGATAAAAAAAAAACATTTTAATTTTTCTGAAAAACAAATTTTGAAGCTGAAATAGATATCAGAGAAACAAATAAGTCGTCCGAAATGATATACCACTGTGGCTAAAAAAAAAAATTTAAATCCAAAAAAAGAATACATACGAACTATGATGCACATAATGTCAAACGATTCCATACAGTTTTATAAACATATAACCGGCGCGGACATCAACAACAATTTGGATGGATTCAGCGGAGTGACTGATTTTGAACTGAAACCTCTGATGGTATTCTATATTAAAAAGACAATATTTAATTCTACCTACTTCCTTTAACAATAAAGTATCTTTTTAACCAAACAGTGCAAGTGCAATATCTTCTTTTTTAAATTTATAAGGCTAGCGGCATATTAGGTTGCCGATATTCAGCAGCAGGGAAGGTCTGCTTCAGACAAATCCTATAATCCCATACGAGCAACTTGCTACATTGAGCTAAAGATCGGTTGAAATGCCTAGCATTTGAATTTACTACGCAAAGATCTGCGGCTCATTTTTGGCGGCTGATTTTCTGTCTAATGTGGCTCTCTAGCCTAAGAATTCATACTGTATACGCATATTTAAAGCCCAATAATTTTTTATATTTGTCAATACTTTAACATTTAATTACTCAATAACGTTTTTTGGAGTTGGTCCAGTTGAGATTTCTTACCTGCAACATGTAGTTTAAGAAATTCAAATGCAGACAAAGGCTCCATGCGAGTCGAAAAATTGTGATTTTAATGTAATTTGTTATTAAGTCAATGTTTAAAAATTAATTACAATGTATATTTTTTTCAGCGTTTTTTTTTTTGTAAATACTATATTGTAAATACTATGCACATCAAGTTCATATTACATTCTCTCTAAGGGTATGATCAACAGAAATATCGATTACTCGATTTCTGAAAAAGCGGTTAAATTAGGACGCGGTTACCTGAAAATGGTACGGTTACCATTAAGTTGAATATCAATCTGTCACAAGAATGAAATGAAATAAATCTTGGCCGTGGTCCAAATGTAACCAAGAAATTAGTTTTTATCAGGAACCGCTGTCAAAAAATCCTGGTTACTTGCGGTTAGTAGTCGGTTAATATCGGACCATACCCTGATGCACCACTTTAAAGATTTGACGATAGTTAATAAACTGTCATACCTACTATGCATTTTATCTCACCAAAAAGATTGCCTAGTTGCTTAGAGCATTATGCTCTAAGCCTAGTTGTGTCATTTGTTCATTTGCATTTGTCTGTGTCAGTTTTTGATGGTTAATTGACAGAGGTATCGTACTTGAGTTTTAGAAATAAATCCTGTAAATATGACATTAATCGCAATTCCTTATATTTTTGTACTATTGGTAAACTATGTCAAATTAAAAAGTGTTGCATTTAATAATTTTGATTAGGTTTGGGATAAATCAGAAAAATATCAGTAAATATAAAGATGACCATTTGTACGATCATCTTCCGAGCTAGTAAAATAAAGAAGTATGCCAAATTAGCCCAAAAAAAAAGATATCACGACAATATTTTTTTGTTAGATAAAGAACTACTTAAGCTATTTTTGATAAAATTTCCAAACCAATTTTTTTTAAATTAACACATAAAAAAATATTTGTCTTCAAAGTTTAATGTATTTTGCAGAATTTAGATACCGATATACTTCCTTATTAAAATGTTATTATTATTTTTTTTTAGTGGTAATAGTTACGCAATAAAGATTTTAGACTTTTTTGGATTTGAATGTTTTAAACAGAATGCCTTCTCTCAACTCATTATTAATACATTTAATGAACAATTACATTATCATTTTCTGCAAAGAATATTTTCTTGGGAGCTTCAGGATCTTCAGGATGAAAATATTGAATTTATCCCAATGTCGTACTATAATAATAAAGACACATTAAACGAAATATTGGGAACTCCCGAGGGACTGTTCTCTATAATTGATGATGCCTCAAAGAAAGGACACCGTGGTAAATATGTAACAGGTGAGCACCCTTTTCTTAAACTCATTGACGAGTAAGTACGTATACGAGAAAAAATTAAACCGAATTTTTTTATTAGACTTGTTAAAAAGTTTAGTAAATAGTACCCAGGAACTTCATGAAATTATACTAATAAAAAATAAATTTCAGAAATCACTCAGCTGCTAGATTTAAACATTTTACTGATATTTGATTATAAAGCAGCTGACCGGAGTTATGTTCTACTTGCTCCCTAGAAATGAAAGCCAGTTATACTCATCTACGAAAAATTAAAGATTTGTAAAAACTGGTTGACATCCTTATTATTAGAATATTACAATACAAATTTAATAAAATTAAACATTAGGGTGTAGCAAAAAAATTTTTTTTGGCTTGTAATCTTCAAATTTATCTAAAAATAAACAAATTTGATCGTGTTCAACTCGAAATTCGCTCTATTGCCTCAGAAAAGCATGTTACTATTTTGGAATTTTTTTAAAAACAACAATAATGACCACAAAAAATTTTTTAAGTTCATAACTGTTAATTAGCAAGAAAGAGGACACTCCGCAGATAAATTTGAAGATTACAAGCCAAAAAAAATTTTTTTTTCATTCAAAAGAATTTTAATTTAAATTTAATTTAAAAAATCAGTGGGCCAACTCAAGACGTTGAGTAAAAAATTTTTTTTTTTTTCAAAAATTTTCTTTTTTTATAGGCTACAAATTACACCCTCAGGCTAAGGAAAAAAAATTTGTTTTCGCTCCACCCTATTAAACATTAAGTTTGGAAGAATCAAAAATTTAATAAAAATTTATAATTTATATTCAACAATGCATATACCTTGGAACTTAAATTTAAGAATACTACCACTAATAATATTCAAATTATTGCAGATAATATTTTATATATATTAAACCAGATTATGCTTATGTATTTGTTATTGTACATTTAACAGTTTTTAAATAAATTTCAAAACACTATAATATGTCTCCTATGGTACATTAATGTCTTAATAATAAGTTAATAAGATAATTACAAATGCACATTGGTTAAATGAAACATAATGACTTTAAATAACAAGATAAAGAGATACTTTCAAATGCACTTGGGTTAAATAAGAGGTACTGGGAGAGAAGTCGCTACGCGGCATATTATTAATATCCTAATGTCATTTGTGGAATGTGTTTTATTTTTCGGTATTTATTGCAATTGCTTTATTTAATATCTAAACATTATTATTTACAAACTTCCAAAAAATTAAAAAAAAACTGACTAAATGGATACTGTTTTTGCATAGAGATTATTGGTAACCGACCAAATATAGTGTGTATTGCAAGGAAAAATATTTTGATTGATCTTCATTGTGTAGAATCTATTTGAAACTTACGTGTGTATAGTTAAATTAAATTACCACATATTTTCTTATTTATAATTTTAAATAAGTTTTTATAATTTCACCGTTTCAAATATTTTTCTCTTATCAAGTAATAAATTGTGAAAAGTTAAGCCTGCATTTTAAAACATTTACTTTGTTGCAAGATGAATCTACCTTATTCTCTTTACCTCTCCTATCATTATGTTGTTAATATAATGTTTTTGTTTTATTTAACTATAAATGGTGTTTCAAAAAACATTTGCCTTTACTCCAGGTGTGATTGCTTACTCAAAAATAAGACAAAATAAGACATGGGTCCGCAGTTACTTTGTTCCAAATTTTTTTTTTTAATTATTTTTGGTTTTTTCAAAATATTTATGATACTACTTTAACGATAAGAATTAAATTTTGGGTGTACAATGTAATTAAAAGCGATTATTATAGCAATAAAAACATGTAAATAGGTTTAACGAGCGCTCTAAAATTTATTAACAAAAATTACAATTTACAAATTTTACAAACTTTACAAATTTTATTTTACTTTACTGTTTAAGTATAAAAAGTTCAACAATTATTTTAATAATTGCGACCTGTCTCACTAGGAACTAGTAGTACTTCTGCCCCGACTACCATTTACAATAAAAAAAAAATAAAAAGATATTCAAGCGCAAGATGTGTAAAATCTTTATCTTCTTTTTTCAAATGGATGAATCCACAGATATATCTAACTGTGTCCAATTTATTACATTTGCAAGATATGATACAAATAATGCACAGAAAATATTTAATTTTTTTCCTCATTGGAGACCATTAAAACTGGAAAATATTTATATGACACTTTAGTGAAACAAGTAAATATGATATTAACTAGGGAAAATATATTGCTATTTGCAAAGATGGTGCTAGAACTATAACAGGCCATAATTCTGGTCTTGTCGTCAGATTACAAGAAATAATGCCTAATGCCTCATGTAGACATTGGTTTTAGGGTTCCGTACCCGAAGGGTAACCAACGGGACCCTATTAGTAAGCCTCCGCTGTATCTCATGATCCGTAATAGGTAGACAGTTGAAATTGACGAAGAATGTGTGTTTCTGTTGCCTCTATAACAAAAATAATAAAAATAAAAATAAATTAAAAGTACCTGTTATGAAGCCTGTTAAGGTTTTTATCTTATGCAGACTCCACTAGACTATATTTCAGAAACTTTCTTGATAATGATGGATATTACGTATTATATTCCTATCATCATTAACGCCTATTCTCTCAATGTTTTGTATTCTGTGATGCAAATTTTCCTTTGTGGTTTTTAAATTATTCTCCAATTTATCTTTTTCAGTAATTATTATTTGTCTTAATTTTTCATTCTCCACCTCTACTATGCTTAAGTTCTGTCTTATTTCTTCTTTTAGATCCTTTTCTATGATTTGTATCTCTTTGCTGTTCTTTAAAATCTTTCTTTCTAATTCTTCTTTGCCTATTATCGTGTTGCTTTTATTCTTTAATTCTGTTCTTATCTGTTTTTGTTCCTCTTGTAATTTATTTATGTTTTCTTTGTTTGTCCGTATGTTGTTTTTATTTTGTTCCATTTCTTTCGTTAGCGTATTAAGTTTTCTTTTTATTTCTATACTTACGTCTTCTAATTTCTTTTCTAGTATTTCTTGTCCTCTCTTTGCATCTTCTTGACCTTTCTTCATATCTTTTAGAAAAGCTGACATTTGCATCAGCGTATTGTCCTTTTCCCCTACTGTTCCTTCTCCTGTTCCTTGTATATCCAGTACCTCCTGTGGTGTTTCTTCTGGTATTTCTTCATTGTTTAGTTCATTTTCTTTGTTTTACTCTTATTATCTCATGGGTCTTGGATTCTGGCGCTATTCCTTGTTAATATGAAATTATTTTTCATGTTAAGTTACCTTTCTCGATTAGAGTATTATTTTCCCAATTAATCAACAAAATATTCCTTTTCCAAAAATTTTAGTTTCATTTTATTTATAAACCAAATCATTTCAACATTTAGATATAAATAGGAACAAAAAAATTATTCATAATTAATTTTGTGGATAGAAAATGGCGGACACGCCATCTATTGGAGGATATTACAGCATGCTGTGCTCTGGAGATGAATCACTTTACTTAAGTAAAATTAAAACTAGCTTTATGTAATTACCCTTCTTAAAATATTTATAAAGAGCTCTAGACATCTAACCTAAATTTAAAAAAATTATTTACACCAATGCAGAATGCAGAACGTAACAAAATGTTTATTGTGTTTAAATACCGAAAGTCAATTAATAAACTGTTCAAAAAAAACTTTTAAAAGTAAGTAGCTTGCAGTATCGTTTTTAATCAACTTGTTTAAACTATTTTACTCACTAAACATCAGTTCTTTCCTAGTTAAAGTTATTTTGATTCCAGGAATTGGAAATATACTCCCTCTCAACATGGACGAAATGGCTGATTCTCTCAGAATCGTCTGTCTGCTCGGTGACCGGAGTTCAATACACGATTTGCTCTTTCTAGTTAACGGTAGGTAATTTTTTTACTCACCCAGGATGTACATAATAAAATTTGAAAGAATATTTTATTATTTTTAGGTTGTAACTGCTTAAATTATATCAAGAATTCCAATTTTAATTTCAAAAAAAAATCTCAAACGTTTGTCAAAAACTCCCATCTCAAAATCAACAACCCCTTAGTTACCCCTTGGATACCAATCATCCAAAAAAAAAAGAAAAAAGTAAAGGTAGGTTCGTATATGTTTTTTTTTATATTATTGAGATACTTTTTGTGTTCATTGGAATGTGATTTTTTTTTAATTATGTTTACTTTTTAGTGATTTTTTTTTTAAGTGAATGTTTATTGTTTAATCGTTATTTAATATTTTTTTTATCACTTATGACAGCTAATGTTTCTTTTTACTTACAAAGTTACTGTACTAATTGTCACAGTGTACAGTTCATCCCAAATTAGAATTTACTTTTGTTATTTCATTTTAATATATAGAATAGGTGTGTTATAGTTAATTTTTTGACTATCTCGAAATATAATATGTTTAAATTTAAAGTTATGATAAACAATTAAAAATTTCAAATAAGCAAAGAGCAAATTGTTCGAGAGAGTCCGAGAGAAATGAGAAATTCTCGTCAAGAGGCATTATTAAAATAAAAATACATGATTTGAACAAGTGGTGTTTTTGTATTATTTTGGAAATTTCCGGTCACCCCCTAGTACCTCATGGCGACCCACTTTGGGAATCACTGAGTTAGATACTTAAATGACTATAATATAGAGCACCGTTTTGGCTTCGTTTAATTTCGGGTTCGTTTATAAGTTTTATGAAAATGTCTTATATATCAAGCTGAATATAAAACCATAAAAAATCTAGTATGCTAGTGTCATCTTTATTGACTTGCTATAGTTTTTAATTCTGTTGATTGTTTTTAACTGATAGTAAAATAAATTACCCTGCATCTTTGAAACAAATCATCTGCAGATCCACGTTGGTAGGAACTATTCATCTTATTTTTGGGCAAGGAATCACCCCACGAGCGATGTCGTATGTTTTTTGAAACACTCTATATACTTATTTGGGAATAGTTTTATTATTAATCTTATAATATTTAGCATTTATGATTTATGACTTATTTAATACATTTTTGTAAACGTCTTAATGATAATAAACACTTTATAAGTTTAGCATTCATGCTTTATGGCGTGTCCAATACATTCTGGTAAATGTCTTAACGATAATAAACACATCATAAATTTAGCATTCATACTTTATTACTTTTCCAATAAATTTTTGTAAATCTGGAAGATAAACAATTTTTAAACTGTTATTTTATTTTTATAAGAAAGTGTCTATTACAATAATAAATATTTTTTAATCAGGCATATCTATTTTATTAATTTCGTATGGGAAAAATATTTTTTAAATGTTATCTCTAATTGTGGATTTCCTAACTGCTTATGTAGATATCTTCAAACAAAAAAACTCCGGACCTACTCGAGGCGCCATATTGTTACCATTCTAATGTTATTTTACTGATACCACATTACTTTTGATACGTATTAAGCTAACAAAGCTCCTTCGGATTTTTTACATTCTGAGTATGCCATAATTTTTGGCTCATTTTAGGCTTATCTTATACCAACATAAAAAATTTTCCCCTCCTTTCTTTAACAGAAAAATTAAGTGCTCTGTTAGCTTGGTATTAAGTTAGCAAAACACCTTTGGATTTTTTAAATTTTGATTACGTCATAATTTTAGGATAATTTTATACCAACCTAAAAAATTTTGCGCTCTTTTCTTTATAGAAAAAATTAGGTACTCTGTATAATTTTAGGCTCATTTTAGGCTAATTCTAAACGAAAATGTTTCTCTAAAGAAAATTGAGTGCTATGCTAGCTTGAAAATACGACTTTATAGTGTTTTCCATTAACTAAATTGAGGGAAATAAAAAATAAGATACGGCATGATTTTAGGCTTATTTAAGGCTAATTTAATACCAACATAAAAATTTTTCACTCTGACCTTTATTTTAAAAATTTGGTGCCCTACTAGCTTGATAATACTTTAAAGGGTTTTTCGTTAAAAAATGGAAACTTTATAATTTTAGGCTCATTTTAGGCTAATTTTATGCCTACCAACCAACCAAATTAGGAACTTTGTTGGCTTAAAATGAGCTTAAAATTATGTCTTGTCTACTTTTTAGTTTCCTTAATTTTATTAACGGAAAACACTATAATGTCGTATTGTCAAGCTAGCAGAGCACCCAATTTTTCCGATAAAGCCATTTGAATTTTTTCATGTTGGTACAGAATTAGTCTAAAATAAGCCTAAAATTATGCTGTTATCATTTTTTACATTGCTAGATTTTTAAATGAAGGACGCAATAAGTGCCTAATATTAAGCCAGCAGGGTACCTAGTTTTTTCTATAAATAAAGAAGTGGAATTTTTTTTAGGTTGGTATAAAATAAGCCTAAAATTAAGACGTAATCAAAATTTAAAAAATCCAAAGGTGATCTGCTAGCTTGATATCAAGCTAGCAGAGCACCTAATTTTTCCATTAAAAAGGCAAGGCCAGAATATTTTTCTTGTTAATATGGAATTAGTATAAAATGAGCCTAAAATTATGTCGTTTCTATTTTTTAGTTTCCTCAATTTTATAAACGGAAAACACTATATAATCGTATTAAACAGCTAGCAGAGTACCTAATTTTTCCGATAAAGGCCAGAGTAGATTTTTTTTATGTTGGTATAAAATTTGCCTAAAAAGAGCCTAAAATTAAGCCGTTATACTTTTTTATATTGCTGAATTTTTTAATGAAAAACGTGATAAGTACCTGTTGTTATGCCAGCAGTACCTAGTTTTTTTTTATAAAGAAAGGAGCGAAAATTTTTTCAGGTTGGTTTAAAATTATCCTAAAATTATGGCGTAATCAAAATTTTAAAAATCCAAAGGTTAATATCAAACTAGCAGAGCACCTAATTTTTCCTGTAAAGAAAGGAGCGGAAAATGTTTTTTTGGTATAAATTTAGCCTAAAATGAGCCTAAAATTATGGCACACTTAGAATGTGAAAAATCCAAAGGTGCTCTGCTAGCTTGATATCTATTTACTTTTGAACAGTTGTATGGTATGTGATCTCCTCTCCCTACTAACTCGATGGTTAAAGCAAACAAAGCGTTGGCTTTCTCATTGTCAAAATCGGTTGTCGGCATTAATAAAAATATTTCGTGAATAAATGTTTTAAATAAGATATCATCTATTTGTTTTTTTTTTTTATTTTGGATTACTGATTTCTAAAAACACAGCGGTGGAATGTAAAAAACAAATTCGATTAAGAATATTAATTTTAAAACGTTATAAGCTATTAAGCTATACCCTGTTTTTAAATTAGGAGGAGTGATTTAAATGTTCCACTCCTACACACTTTGATTGGTTATTTTACAGGCAAGTTTACATAGACCAAAATGTCTAATAATGAAATTTATCCATATTTGGAACAGAGCCTAAATTTAAAATTTTTAAATGCCCTTATTTTATATTTCATTCTTTTTAATTACATATTATTGATGTTGTAGTCATTGTATTCATATCAAATCGTAAAGAAGACAAAATCTTCAAAAAAATTTGTTATGCAGGCATGGTTAGAATGATCATTTTGAAGATGTCATCAGCCGACCAGATCTAACAAACTTTTGTTCTCGTGGAGAGAGTATCGCTTTGCTCATTTATTACATAATCTACCAAAATAGTTTTTAAAACATAAAATTCCTTACATGGGAAAAATATTTATTATTTTTCAGTGAGGTTATAAAAGAGTCTGTTTTTTTAGACAATTTGTACAATGAAGACAAAAGAAAAATAATGATTTATGAAGAAAGTACTATTACAGTCATACATTATACTGGAAAAGTAACATACGATTGTCTTGAAATGCCAGAGAAGAACAGAGATTTCTTGTCACCAGAAATAATCGAAACATTGAGAAGTTCCAAAAACGCAATTATTTCTTTAATGTTTACGTCAAAATTAGATCGTACTGGAAACTTAATAATGGCTGGCGAAGAACTTAGGAAAACAAAATATGGATTTCAATCAAAGGTTTGTTATTTAATTCTATTTAATAAATGTACTTATGTTTTTTTTCTACACAACCTTAAAATGGATATCTCTTCTAAAGCGAGTCACCCAAAGTAACCAATTGCTGGTTTAGGTCACCAAACTATTCTCGGATAGTTAGGCAAAGTTGTCAAATGTAGACATCTATCCCAATTATTACTTCTCGTCTAATTGTCATGCTCGAAATATGCAAGTAGGTAGCTGTCACTTAAACATTGTTAATGTTTTACCCAAAATACAACATACTACTAGGGTAATTCCAAAAGTAACATTTTCTAGTTTTTAAGTAGTACAAAATTCTGTATGTTTTCTATAATATTTACATTATTTTTTTACAAGGTCACTAGACAGCTTCCAATTTTTTTACTAAATACTGTCCTAAAGTTTCGTAAGAGAGACACGGTCAGTGAGCTCACAGTCTTGTTTCTACGAATAAATTGTTCAACATCACAAGTAATCCAGAAACAATAGACCTTTTACTACCTTATTAATCATTTAATCTTTAATTCACTTTAGATCGTAGACTAAGAAACAACTTGCTCTTTGAGCCGTCGCCGTAACAACCATATTCTCCCTTGAAAACATTTTTTAAATGGAAATCGATTAGTAAAATACACAAATCTCCGTTACATTTAATTTTTCCGAAAATCTGACCATAATCCCTGGGATAGCACACTTCGCGCCGACCACTGTTGAAAACAAAGATATATAACGAATTTGAGAAGCCCAGCTTTAAGTGTTTGGGATTGAATGGAACTGATAATAAACTTTTCGATGGCAGTGCCCAGAATATATTAAAAAATAAGGAAAAAATATTTTGTCAAAGGACTGACTTTTATTTATATACCAATGACACAGAATCAGTTAGCTTACTAGGACCAATTGGATGTTCCAAAATAACATCCACTCCAGGAATACAAATTCAGGATGCGCAGAAGCTGTTTGAATATAGGCGGTTGCACGATACACAGACTAACGGTATGTTCCTGCGCATGCACCTGACTGACGGTGACGTCACGTGGGACATAGAATTATTAGCATTAAATGGAAGATACTGTTTGAAATTCGATATTTCGCCGGTTTTAGATTTTATTCAGTTACTTAAGCTTTATTGGTTATTTTGTATTATTTTCATTTACAAATATGAAGGTTTAAGGTAAATAATACTAATAAAAATATTAATTTTTCTCGTAAATTATAGGTATTTTGTGACAAAATCCATAACCTGGCCATAAGATAAGTAAAAAATATAGACTAAAAATACAAGTTGGTCTCAAATTTGTACATTCTGTGCGTGGTAATTTTCTTGCAATCCCTTTTATTATTATGTGAAATAAAAATAAGTGTGCAGAAATAAATTATTTATTTATATAAAGTAAGTACACAAAAAAAATACTTTTTATTTGGTAAATTTAAACATTTGTCAAGTTTGCGTTTGCGTAATAATCAAAACTAATTTTTCTGTTCATGTAACTTATTCTTATATATGTTCGTGTCCTGCTTATTATTTCAAAAATGACCGTTGTATTGGGACATGAAACTACTGTTTTATCTGCTCAAATTTTAAAATACCTATTTATTTTCTATGCTTAATGAGGCCCCATGCACCTGGTGGAACTTTTTTATTGCGCCTATAGACGAATATGTTTAAGAGGAATCTCACAGCTACTTTTCCCAAAGTAGATAAGGCAACTTCATGCTAAAATAAAAAAATATATAAAAAAATTTATTTTAGCAACTTTTCACTATCTCTAAAACTTTTTATACTTATGCATTTTACTAACCATTGTTTAAATTAAGTTTGTCCTTTCTTCGATAATAATTTACCCACATTTTGTGGCATTTGGAAATATCTTACACTATTTTTTGATTCCGTATTATGGTTTTTGCAAGCCGCCATCGCGCAGTCAGGCATTTTAAATATTAATTCAGTTCTTCCCTGTTATATATAGGAAAATAAGTCACTACTAACACCACAGAAGAAAGAACCCTGTGCTAACACAAAAACAAATAAATTAATTTACAGTACAGTTCATCAAATTTCTAGAGGTGTTCGACGCCCAGATAGAGAACGCGCTACGTGTGACTAAGATAACTATTGTACAGTCTGCTAAACAAGTTATTTTAAATAGTTTTTAATATTTTTAGGTAATTAAATTTTAAAAGTGTGGAATAGTTTAGGTATTAAATTGGTCTGATTGGACTTTCTTAGAACGTTTTAAAAAGCAGCTAAAGATAGTATGTAGAATTGAAAATAATTATTATGCCATAAAAGGTGTTTTGGAATTCCTTCAACCTTTTGAAATTGAGTCAGAAAATATAAATTTTATAGGATAGCGGAAAATATCTATAATTTTTTTGTAGGCCTTTGTAAATCGCGGAAATAGTTTATATTTTATTTCTACCTTATTAAGGAAAATGGTACCTATTATTAATAACGGTTGTTTCTGAAACATTACTAAAATTTTCGAAATTTTGTTTTTCTACAAAATAATAAACTATACTATTTAGAAAAAAATTTATTTCTCTTATAATTTTATAAAAAATAACAGGGGAATATTTATATTTCTTGATCTATTAAACAAAACGATAAATTATCTTGACGAATGACACCATGTTCTAGTTACATTTTTGTTGGTGGTTTCATGGGTTTCATATCAATTTTTTGTAATTGTAGTTTACACGTACATATACCTCTTAACACTTGTTTGCTTTATTAAAAAAGTGTGTTGTTGTGATTTACGTCGAAATAAGTCAAAAACAACTTGAAACCCCATATAAAATCAAAAAGGAGAAACGGAAAAAAATTGAGCCTGTAAATGAACACAACTCAGAAACAAAAATAGCTATCTAATAATAAAAAAATAAAATTTGATTCTTGTGCAGCTTCATCTATATCATTAACTGTTTTTGGTTTTTTAATGGTTTTTCTTGGTGATGAAAATTCCGATATCTCACGGTTATCGATTCGTTTTTTCTCTCCAGAAATGCGGACGACAGTGTTTTTAGATACTCCTGTGGCTGCAGCAACACGATCATTTACATTTTTAAATGGTATTGAAGGTGAATTAAAGTTTCCTTCTCTTCTCATAAACTCTATAACATTGGCTATTATTTCGCGAGATTGACTGTTAATCACGCGGCCTCTTAATTTGCTATTAAACTCCATACTTAGGTTCTATTAAACTGTAATGAGCAAAAAACACAAACGAAAATAAAAGAAATGTTTTAGCGAAATTTACATCTGACATTGAAATAGTGAAATACTTGATGCGCAGAGTGTACTTTCATTGCGTAAATCCGTCGGGATGCCTGTCAGTAGTGCTTTCTCTGTCTAGCCGCCGAAAGCCTCTAGAAATTTGATGAACTGTATTCAATCGAAGAGTGTCAAAATAACTTGAAAGTTCGTCTCTCTAGTTTTCATCAGGTCTTCATAGTCCCGCATTACGTCATTACGCGGTTTGGACGGAATTTGAATCGAAAGTCAGCATACCTGTCGTGTATCGTGGGCGGTTGTCATATTGTATTGGTTATAGTAAGGGAGTCCACTGCTAATTTTCTGACAACGATATGAAATATGCTCCAAAGGCAAGCAACAATATTGTACTTTACCCAATTGCACCTATGCCAATCCCTATCCTGAGCAAATATAAAAAACAATGTTTTATATTCAAAAAATTACATGAAGGGTAAGGGGAAAAACCAACGATGTCCATTTTATAAAAATATACAATCAATAGTCCCAAACACAATTATTGTGCGACTAAAACAAACGGGGTCCGAATAAAAAAACATTTAAAAATAATCATAATGTTTAAAATCCATTTCAAAAACAGACGTTGTCCGCGCATTACTGAAAAAAAAAACGACGGTGTCCAGGTTAAGTACAACGAATTGCAAGAAACGTTTTTATTACCCAAATACTAAAGAATCTTATGAAACATTGTTATACAGGTAGAAGTCTCTTTATTTTAAGTTATTTTTAAAATAGAAATTATTCCATTTTAACAAGTTATTTGTCACGTTTATTTTTTTTTAACCCGAATATAATAATCTTACGTTTAAATTATTTTGTAAAAAGTTAACTATGCAGTAATAAATTACGTTAAACATATTAACGTGAAGTTTTATTTATTTTTATGACTGTAACATAAGATTTCATAATAATAATCATAGATGAAAGAAACAACAGATGAATCATTTCATTTATAACGTAACATTTGTTTGGCTCAATCATTGGAAAAGAGACAGAAGATATTTTATGCGGATTAAAAAAAGACAAACTGTAACCCTAGATCTCGTTTGGCAACGCTGCTGTTATAAAAGTCTGTCGATGCCAGTGGCGTATCGTATTAAAGACAAAATCATAACTCTTTGATTTTTGTGCGTAAAAGATTATTAAATTGCAGTAAATACTAATTTTATGTAAGTTAAATATAAAAAAATAAATCATGAAATATATGGTATGCAATAAACTTTATAATGGTTTAAACTTTAAAACCTTTTGGTTTGGAATAAGGGTATGCAGTTTGGTGGAATGTAGGTAAAAACCCTGAAAACACTATTTGTTTATTTTTTTCAAGAATAATACAATATTTATTACAAATAAAGATGTTAAACAATAAATATAATAAAAACAAGATAAATAAATCAAGAATTATTTTTAACAAATTTACGAATCTAATTTTGGAGTTAATTTGAACAGTTTTACAAATTGGTAATAATAAGAGATTTTTAAATTAAAAGTCAGATTTTTAAGACTAATAAATTTATAAAAGTTGATAAATCAATAAATTTACCATATTTAAGGTGGGATTTTAAATAGAACGTTACTTATAGCGGAGTTGGCGATAAGAATTTTGTCAAATCTGAAAACACGTCGAACTATACAACAATAAACCTGAGTTAGTTCTAGGAGTTGAAAAAACTTCGTTTTTATTTAAAAAAGAAAATATTATTCATTTCTAAACAATACTACTTTT